ATGATGGCACTGAGGCACCTGAGATACCTTTGCCTCCACTGCACTATGCTGACAACAATCTGCAAGCTCAAAGACTGCATTTACTGTGTGTCACACAGAATGGGCAGTAGTTGCAGCCCAGAGCAGCAGACTCCTGTAGCAGGATCTGGGAAGCCCTAACAATGTTGCCAGGCCAACCAGCCTAGGAGTAGTACCGAAGATCACCGGTGTGCTTGCGCATGTGAACGTTCAAGTAGTGCTTCCACTTGGTGATATATCCACACTCAGTGCACATGAAGTTCTTGTCATTGGAATGGGTCAGCATGTGCTTGGACAGGTAGCTCACATCGCGGCACGTGAAGTCACACAGCTCACACTTGTGAGGCTTCTCTCCTACAGAGGAAAGAGGAATGTTCTCAGTACAATAATCAGATATGGCAGCCTCCCTTGAGGGTAACCAGCTCAGCAGGAGCTTGAGATAACAGCAGGGATGGGGACACAATGTGACTTCAGCCAGGGGCTGGTGGGTGGCAGAGCCATCGATGGGACCCAGGAATCCTGACCCAGCCCTCCCTGCCCTCCAGGACGAGCACAAACCCATGTCCCAGCTCAGCTCCAGATGCCCCGCAGCAGGCACTCACCTGTGTGCAACAGCATGTGCCGGATGAGCACCCTCTTGTGAGCGGTAGCGAAGGCACACTCAGTGCACTTGTGGATCTTCTCGTTGGCGTGCATCTTGCCCACGTGGTCATGATATTCCACAGGGTTGAAGGTGGCATAGGGACAGAAGCTGCACTGGAGCTGCTCACTGCCAGGGTGCCCCTGCTTCTTATGCTTCCGGAAAACATGCTTGTTGGAGCAGATGAAGTCACATTGTTGGCAGTGGAAGGCATAGTGGGTTTTCCGGTGAGCCTCCATGGCCTCAGCAGTGCCGAAGAGCAGTGAGCAGGCATGATACTTGCACTCCACTGCCTTGATGCCGTGAGCATCCTTGAGATGACGGACAAACTCCTTCCTGTCCTCCACACAGTAGTCGCAGCCCCCTTGGAAGCAGCTCAGCCTCTTGGGCTCAGCTTTGTGAGACTTCAAGTGCTCTTTGAGGGCCTGGCTGAGGCGAAACTTCTCCTTGCAGACAGGGCAAGAGTAGACATCGGAGTAGAAGTTGGAAATGTCCTCGTGCATACTGGCCATGTGGCGATTGAGGGCATTCTTCTCCACCGAGCTGTAGTGGCAGAGCGGGCAGCGGTGCGCCTTCTCACCTGTCTCCCGCATCATGTGGATTTTCAGCTTGCTTTTACTGGTGAAGTACTTGTGGCAGTTGGGGCACTGCAGGCTGGGGTCAGGGTAGTGCAGGTGGAGGTGCTCCACCAAGTGCGTCCGCTTCTTGAAGCACCGCTTGCATTCGGGGCACATGTGGGTTTTGTAGATGTATTCTGAGCCCTCTGCAACATCTCCTGTGAGAGCAAAGGAAGTGCCATCAGCAAGAAAATGAATGGACACAAGCACAGGCAGATGTTCCTTCCCTGACCCTGCTGTGTTGGGGCACTGGCTTATCACATACAGTCATGCACAGCCAGGTACCCACAGAGACCATCCCCATCCTGAGCTACCAGAATGGTTCAGGTGGGATCTTTCTAGCTCAACACTTAGAAAAGTGATCCAGTACAGCCTAAATCAGACTTGCTTGTATGGCCCCCAAAGCCAAGCAAACTCCTCAGTTTCAGCAACAGGAGAAAAAGAGTGCACCTAATGGGCAAATAGGCTGCTGGATGGCATAGGACCTCTTGGCCCCACTATGCTGTACTACTTGCTCATAAGCAATAGGCCCAAGCATCTCTCAGCACAGACTCACAATCATACCTCTGAAGTGCTGAGCCCAGGTCACCTTGGCTTTGTCAGCAGCCTCCTTCCTGTTCTCTTGGGCCTCGCCCTCACAGGGGCTCTCTCCATCCTCCTCCAGTGAATTGTCCTCATCACTCTCTGAATCCTCTTCTCCGGCAGATACTTTCAGCTCCTCCAAGGAGCCTTCCCCAATGCCTGAGGGATTTGCTGGCCCTGTTTCTTCCGAGGTAGCTTCCCAGTCAGGGTGGCAATTCTCTGCCTTCTTCTGCTCTTCTGTGTCAGAGAGGAAAGACAAGAGACCATGATGCTGCAGGGGGAAAAGCAGCCACCCCCCCTAACCCATACACATAAAAAAAATCTCCTGCCTCTCTAGGACACCTTTCTCCTGGACCACTTGGCTCTCCAGCCCTTCAGCAGCACAGGTTTGCCCTCATTCCCCACAGCTTTAACGCCAAACCCAGCCCCTGCAACACCCACAGGCTCCTGACCCAGCTTGAGTCTCTAACTCAGCTATACCTGATGGCAGAATGCAGAGCTGTTTGAGGGAAGCTGAGCTGGGAATGCTGCTCATCACAGATGTCTCCGCGACGTGGCTCTTCCTATGCTGCCAGAAGAGCTTGGCATTAGCTGTGACAAAATCACAATGCCCACAGTGGAAGGGGAAGTGGGTGCGGTGGTGCTGCTCCATGGCTGGGCGGCTGGGGAACAGCAAGGGGCAGGCTCGGTAGGTGCAGGACACAGGGGAAGTCCCATGCAGGAGACGTAGGTGGCTGCGCAGCTGCTTGCGGTCCTCTGTGACAAAGCAGCAGCCCTTCTCAGGGCAGGGCAGAGTTCCCTGTGGGCCACGGTGGGTCTTGAAGTGCTCCTTGAGCTCACCAGGCTGTGCAAACGCCTCCTGGCAGATGGGGCACAGCAGACATTCAAGAGCTGAACCCTCTGGCACGCTCGCTACTGGTGGTTCTGAGCCTCCTGGCTCATTCTGGCCCTTACTGGTGGGTGCTGGCAGCACTCCAGGTAGCCGCAAGTGCTCTGGTGGTGGCAGTAGCAGGCACTCATGCTGGGACAGCAAGGAAGCCTCCTGGAAGCTCTGGCCACACCTCTCGCAGAAATACAACTCCACCACTTTGACCAGCACCTCTGCACAAAGCAAGGATGATCGTGAGAAAGGGCTTTTGCCAGGCCCAGAGCTTGGGACTGGTGGTTCAGTTCCAGCTCTGAACAAGAACAATAAAATTACGTTGTCATGCATTACAGCTTTGAGAACAAGTTCTCCCCCTGCCCTGGGAATCCCATGCCACACAGTCCCACTGCAGGAGGAGCATCATTGTGCAGGTGACCATACTGAGTGGGTCCGCCCCTTTGCACATCTGAGGCACAGGCAATGTTGCTTGGCCTTCTGTCTAGCAGGATGCCCCAGGTGGGCAGCATGCTGGTGGATGCAGCAGATGGAGATCTCCACCTTCATCCTCTCAAAGGCTCAGAGCAACCCCACAGCCTTCTCCAAGGCTCCCTGGGCCAGTCTTCCCCACCTTGTGCCAGATCCATAGCGAGTGGCAGCATCTGCTCATGATGCACAGTGGCTCACTGACCCAAGGGCACCGTGACATCCCCGGGTGCTGACCAGAAGGAACAGAGCCAGCTGACCTCCCGTCCCACTGCTCGGCACCGAAGTGTCCATGCCCCCCACCCCACACCCAGTACCGGTTCCATTGGCCGTGTTGCTCAGAGTCACGTTGCCAGCCACAGCCTCGATGAAGATTTCTACGTTACTTCCTTCAGCCGCAGCCCCTTCCCCAGGCAACGACGCCTCTGCCAGCACCAACTCCTGGCTCACGGGCAGCGGGGCAACCCCAACTGTGGCAGTAGGGCTTCCAACCGCCCCTGCCGCTCCCACTGCCCCCGGGGAGGGCAGGAGCAGCTCAGAACACAAGGCTTCCATCTCCTCGCTTGCAGCCAGAGGTGCAGCCACTTCTGCGCTCATTGCCCCTTAGTCAGAGCCGGGGCATGGGGGTTCCCTGGCTCTGGAAGAGAAGAACGAGATCGAATTACGAAGGATTCCGGAGGGTGAACCACGGGCCTCAGCACCACCTGTCCCCGTGCCCTGACACAGGAGCCTCACATAGGGCCGGCAGCCGGCCGGGACACCTCATCCGCAGCCCAGGAGCAACGCGGGGGCTCGGGCCTAGCCCCGATCCCGTGCCCCAGTGTCCCCCAGTACGGCCCAGCTGCAGCCCCCATTGTCCCCATTCCCACCTGCAGGTCCGGCCCAGCGCATCTCGATGGTTGCCGCAGCACAGAGCTGCACTCTCGGCGCTCCCTACGGCCTCCTCCTCTTCCCCGACCCCGTTCGGCGGGTGAGTGCCGGGAGCCGCCGGAAACGGAAGTGCGGGAGGAACCATAGAGAGCGGCGCGGCGCCGGGGAGGGCGGTGCGGAGGTGAGGGTGAGCGGGTCGGGGCTGTCCCGGCGTGGGGGCGGCGTGCGGTGGGGACAGGGCGAGGCCGAGCCCTCTGGGTACGGGTAGGCGTGGGGCTGTACGGGTGGGCAGTGCGCTGACCCATCGTCCGGGCGGGGCCCGGCGTGGGTTGAGGGTCTCGCCTCAGTGCCCAACTGGCGGCCTTTATCCTGTGGCAGAGGGTGAGCTTGGAGGTCTGCGACTGAGAGTCTGCGCAGAGGAGAGAGGAGGGGGAATACGCTTGGTGGCCTTCAGACCCGCCGGCAGCTGAGCAAGGGGAGCCCTGGGGTGGGGGCCTCAGCCCCTCTGCTTTGTGGCACACAGAGCAGTAGAGCAGTGCTCCCCTTGGAGTCAGGGCATGTTGATGCTGCTGCCTCAGGCCTGTGCCAGCTGCCAGCAGCAAAGAATGTGCTCTCAGCTCAGTCTGGGGACACACTTAAGTTTTTCCAAGCAGTAAATCCCTGATACTTGCAGTGCATGTGGACTTACAATGATTTAAACAACAAAATGGTGTAGAATGTGAGGCTTCTTATGGCAGAAGATGCAACAGATGCTTTGAGAAGAAGCCATGGTAAAGGCCAGGCATCTGCAGGCTACCCACCTTGCCCTCTGTTGCTGTAGTACTTTGCTCCATCATTCAGGCCTTCCTCACACTCTTCTCTGCCCACACAGATTGGTTGATGGAACGTGGAGATGCTGTGGAAAGGAGCACATTAACCTCCCACAATGCCGTTCTCTGACTTTGTTGTGGCACTGAAGGACAACCCCTACTTTGGGGCTGGGTTTGGCCTTGTTGGAGTGGGCACAGCAATGGCACTGGCTCGGAAAGGAGCTCAGTTTGGGCTGGTGGCTTTCAGGCGCCACTATATGATCACTTTGGAAGTGCCCAGCAAGGATAAGAGCTACCAGTGGCTGCTGAACTGGATCTCGCACCATGCCAAGCGCACACAGCACCTGAGCGTTGAGACCTCGTACCTGCAGCACGAGAGTGGGCGCGTCAGCACCAAGTTTGACTTTGTCCCCAGCCCTGGAAACCATTTCATCTGGTAAGGAAGATCAGAGGGAGAGGGAAAAGCAATCCATGGGGTTGCCCTCATTTTGGCAAAGGAAGTCCAGTTTGGAGGGCCCCTAGTGGCAGAGACTTCTACCTCCTCCTTGTGTCTGAATTAGGATAGGGGATTGGAAGTAGCTTAGGGAATTTGCACCAATCTGAAATTGCTTTTTCACCGGAGGTGACCCCAGGCTATGCCCTCCGTCTGGGTGCAGACAAATGGAAATGGACCCCAAGATTTATCCCACCCTACTTTGCCTAGCCAGTGTTGGACATGCTAGCTCTGAGTTCCTCTTGCTGAGCCCTACCATGCCTGCGTTGGGCACAGAGAGCAACACCATCCCTGATTGATCTGGCTGAGAGGTGAAAGGCAGAGGCTGAAACTTGTGCTTGGTTATGTGCTGGTGTGAGCTGTGGCTTGTGGCTGGAGGTGGGCTCCATCCCTCAACCTTGTCCTCTCGTTCCAGGTATCAGAGGAAGTGGATTCGCATCGAGCGAAACCGGGAGAGGCAGATGATTGACCTGAACACAGGAACTGCCTGGGAGTCTGTCACCTTCACGGCACTGGGCACCAACCGGGAGATCTTCTTCAACATCCTCCAGGAAGGTCTGTAGGCAGCTGTGTGGGATTGTACTGGGAACGGCCCCTTCCTGGAGGCACCTGGGGCATCATAAGAGAGCCTTTTCCCTGCCAGCCATCCCCTCTGCCTCTTTCTGCAGCCCGGGAGTTGGCTCTGCAGCAGCAGGAGGGGAGGACAATCATGTACACAGCCATCGGAACGGAGTGGCGGCAGTTTGGATTCCCACGCCGCCGCCGGCCTCTGAGCTCCGTGGTGCTGGAGAAAGGTGTGTCAGAGAGGCTGGTTGAGGACGTGAAGGAGTTCATCGACAACCCGAAGTGGTACATCGAGAGAGGCAAGGCTCCTGTGTGGTGTCCTCTGTTTGCCCAATGCAGCACCTTACCCCTGTCCACAGATAGCCCAGCTGTGCCATGCGAAGTCCCTTGTGTGTCTGAGCCCCTCAGCCTGGGCACAGAGCAGTGCTCTCATCCCAACTGTAACCATGCTGTATCCACTCATCTTCAGCTTTGCTCCTGTCTTAACAAAGAGCCCTTAATATAGCCAAGCACAGGGGAGAAAGGAAGGGACAAGCACAACCGGGGACCAAGCAGAGGCTGCTGCTTATATCCATCCCTGCAGCTTCTCAGCATGCTGCTGCTGTGCCTGCTGCAGCCCTGCTTCATAGCAGTTTCCAGCCTTCTGTTCATCAACCTGATCTCTTTGTGAGCTCTCCCCACATACACTCAGCTCTCTGGCATCCTGCCATATATAGGGTTTAGATAGACTGCTGGGAGTAGGTTCTTCCTGCTCAGGTTCTGCAGTCTACAATCCTGGGAACCCAATAAGTCACGGAGTTCATTGCTCCTGCAGTGCTGCTGTGGGTAGAATTTGAATGCCAGTTCTCTATACAGCTGCAGAGAGTTTCTGTCCTGCTTCTTGCCTTTCTCTGGTACATCCTCTGTTCATGCTTGGCACAGCCCCCTGGCTCTGAGGGAGAGGGCTCAGAGTAACACAGCTGGTTCCTAAAAGGACACTGTCTTCCTAGGGATCCCATACAGAAGAGGCTACCTGCTATATGGTCCTCCTGGCTGTGGAAAAAGCAGCTTCATGTGAGTATTGCTAGCTGGGTGACAGCAATTTTCCTGCCAGCTGTCTGCTCTGATGTGCAGCAGTCCCTGATGAGAAGATGTAGATGGGCTTGGGTTTGAAATGCAGCAATGAAGGAGTGGACTATGTCAGTGTTATAGGTCAGAGTGACAGCTCTGTGTGCAGGCTGGTGTGGCAGTAGGGCTCACATCTACTGTCCTTGCCTGATCTCCCCTGGGGAGGTCTGCTACTGGACAGGGAGAGCCCATTCTTCAGCTTCCCCTGCCTTCCTCTGCTCCAGACTTTCTTCCTGTGGTTCACTGCTGTGGTTTGTGTCCTTCCCAGTACAGCCCTGGCCGGGGAGCTGCAACACAGTATCTGCCTGCTGAGCCTCAGTGACCGCAGCCTCTCTGATGACCGACTCAATTACCTCCTGAGTGTGGCACCACAGCAGAGCATCATCCTTCTGGAGGATGTGGATGCTGCCTTCATCAGTCGGGACCTCGCTGCTGAGAGTAAGTGGTGATCAGTTCCTGGGCCAGGCACTGGGATATTTGCTGGCTTGGTGCTGGTGGGCAGGAAGGGGGCAGCTCTCAGAGGTCTCATGACCCAAGCTGGAGCTCACCCTGTTTTGGCTTGGCCGTATGAAGGGAGCATTGGGCCCATAATTCCAGAGGTATCTCAGGCAAAAACACTTGTTTGAAAATCTGGCTGTTTTCAGCATAAGGTGGTCTACCCCTTCATTTTCCTTTTGGGTTCACAGGGGTGCTGCCAGGCAGGGATGGTGAATGGGCTGCCAACCAGGATGAGGCAGAGGATCAGCGTAGAGGGATGGAGGGAGCAGAAAGCTTGGCTTATGCCTCAGGTTATAAGCAGGTAGCCCTCAAGACTGCCAGGTGAGTGGCAGATGGATACGATCTCAAACATCTCTATCCACAGACCCTGCTATGTACCAAGGCATGGGGCGCCTGACCTTCAGCGGCCTCCTCAACGCCCTGGATGGCGTGGCCTCCACAGAGGCCAGGATTGTCTTCATGACCACCAACTATGTGGACAGGTCAGAGCTGCACTCTGGGAAGAAGCAGGAAAGGGCTGTCCTGATCCTTCCTCAGGATGCAAACCCCTAATCAGAGCAACCCCTTGCTGGGGCCTCTTCCTTGCTGCTCAAATCGTATTGTGCTGGATACTTCGTTCAGGAGAGGTGCCAGCCTCCTGCCTGCAGGAATCTGTGGGTTTTAGGGTTGTGGCTGTGCTGAGTGAGAAGCTGGTTCCATGCAATGCATTCAGTCACTATGCGGTGGCCTGGGCTCACGGCACATATCTGCTCAGTAAGCCAGCATATGTACCTTTTGGACGCTGCTGTGGTGGGCTTCGCTTGCTCTAGATTGAGCTCGCCTAGATCACTGTTCAGACAGCATTTCTGGGATACAGATGAGCAGAACTGATAACTTGTCACCCTCAGGAGCCTACCATTCCCTTCTTTCTGTTGGGTTGATTTCCTACCATGACTGTGGGAGCAAACCTCTTCCCTACCTTTACCACAGTGCACATATGGGATAGGATGCTGGCTGTGCTAGCACGGAGGGGTGCTTCTGTTAGACCCCTCTTGCAAAGGCACCGTGGCCAGGTTGTGAAGGCACGCTTTTGTCTCGACAGGCTGGACCCAGCCCTGGTGCGGCCTGGACGTGTGGACCTGAAGCAGTACGTGGGCCACTGCTCCCAAGGGCAGCTGGTCCGCATGTTCCAGCGCTTCTATCCTGAGCAGCCCCCAGCTGCAGCTGAGCAGTTTGCTGAGCAGGCGCTGGCAGTCTCCAAACAGATCAGCGCTGCCCAGGTGCAGGGCCACTTCATGCTCTACAAGACAGATCCTGGGGGAGCCATTGAAAACGTACACTCCATCCTGCCGTGACCTAAGGTGAGCTCTGCCTTGCCATGCTGTGAGGCCTGGAGATAACTGGGACAAGGACTTGGACCATCCTGGGGATGCTGTGAAGCTGCCCAGCTACACAGGCCAGGTCTTTACCTCACCGAGGCCTTGTCTTTTTGTTAAAATGTGTGGAGTCAGAGCTTCCAGCTCTGCAGCAGAGTGAGGGGATCGGCTCTTGCTGCTCCCTAGGTTTGGGTGCTACTATACAGACCCTGCTCACTGCTCTTGTGCTGGGATTGAGAAGCTGCCGAGGCTTCCAGATGTGAAAGTATAATTTGTCAACCCCTTCCTTGTGGGCTGATACTCCAAAACAGAATTTTGCAGAGGCAGGACATTGGGGTGATGCACTGCTGAGGAGAGCTGATGGTCTTTGAAAAGAGAGCAGTCTTCATTGGTCTGTGAACAACCTTGTAAGGTAAAGTGCACAACATGGCTCTTTGCCCTCCAGTCCCCTTGTTTTTGTATGTATGCTTACGAATGTTGGTTTTGTTCCTCTGCCACCACCCACCTGCTAGAGTCCTTCTGACCTCGATAGATGGGAGCAGCATTGCTCCAAACACTTCCCAGGGTTGCTGATGCCTGGGTCTCTGTTCTGGAGGGATCCTGGCTTGTCTCCAAGGTGCAGTTCCTGGTATAATGTAGAAAGGTGCTGGAAGGAGAGACTGAGCTGAAGGATCAGTCTGGTCTCTGGCACCTCAGGTCCTCCTGGGACCACCTGATTCTCTGGGAGATAATTCAGTAACCCCTTTGAGAAGGGAATTTGCTTACCCTGTTCTGCTGGTTTATTTCCTCTCTTCCTGTTTGTGGCAGGGCTGCCATCAGCCTGGTGCTGCTGTGTGCTTATGTTTTAAAGCTGATCAAAATTTGTGCCTCTGAAAAGGGAGCAGGGGAGGGAGTGGTGTGGTCAGCAGTGCAGCCAGGCCAGGCTGGTGTGAAGAACAGAAGTCCTCTGCTAACAGCCCTGAAAATGCAATTGGGGAGGGGAGGCCTGATCCAGGCAGGTTCTGTGCTCCATCACCAGCACCACCAACCCAAGTCCCCCCCTCCACTACCACCACGAGAGCACAGGAAGCAACTTGTGTCACTTTACTTGCTTTTAATAGTGTTAATGTTACAGCCACCATCAGTGCCTTTCTGCCAGCGTGAGCACCATTGCCAGTGTAGCCTCACAACAGCCCTGTGAGGTAGGTCAGTAACAGCACAGCCCCATCTTGGGAGTAGGCATGTAAGTAAATGCCAAGTTAGAAGCCTCAGGGCATGGTGCAGGCTCCATTTCTCCCTCATTCTAAATCCCCATCCTGGACAAACTTTTAGAGAAAGGAGCTATACATCTGCTGCTTTGAAGTTACTCAGACACAGAGCAGGGAAGGCATACCACAGCCTTGCTCTTCCCCAGAACACCCCACCGTCCTCTTCAAGTCAGAATTAAGTGCTGTCTTGACAGCCTGTACCTGCTGTTGCCAGGATGTTTTCTAAAAGAATTTATGTTTGGCCCAAATTCATTTCCACACACTAGTACAGAATTTCCTCTGCTCCAGGCTAACAGCAAGAGAGTCAGAAAGGTGAGAGCCCTTAATCCCTTCTCCCTGGCAAAAAAAAACCAAACCAAAACAAAACAAAAAAAACCCCTCCCTTCTAACAAGCATAGTGTTTGACTGAGTTACTGAAGACCTTGCTCACTTTAATTTCTGTGGCTGAATTCCTATGCTCCAACGGTGGCACAGTAGCTTTCCCAACAAGGAGAAAGAAAAGTTTGACTCACGGCAGGATGCCAAGGAGCTTGGCAATTGGAACATGGCAATTTTTGTTCTTCTAAAAGCACAATGAGCAAAAGGAAGATGATAGTTATCTGTGTGAGAAGAGGGGTTTGTTATGGGCCCACAACGCACAAACAAGCGTGAAGAAATCAGTATGGTTTAGGTGAGCCAGACAGCTCACACTGACAAAGCAGGGAGCTAGCATCCTACTATCCAAGAGACTTCCCCTGCACGTACGGCATAGGAGAGAAGGGAGTTATACCAAGGATCAACACTTTGCTCCAAACAGCTAAGAATAGGAGTGGGAGGGCAAAGAAAACAAAAGGAACAGGCTCCAGAGAAGACCCAACAAATTAATTTAATAGCAGCCTCCCACTTCAGAAATTTGGGATTCCTGTCATATCTCTGCAGCAGGACATGGTTTGAATCTGAAACAGCAGCAGAAGGAACTGCAAAAAAGCAGCTGACGGACAGGGCAGAAGCTCCAGCTAAATTCAAGCTTCCATGGGGAGCAGGAGCCAGTACCAGGCCTCAGTCACTGGCTAGTCCTGACCTACTAAAGCATTGGCTTAAACTTAATTTAGCTCAGGCTGGGGCTGGGAAGAATCATATTATACAAAGGACTTGCCTGGCCAAGCCTATGAGTTGAGCAGCAGTCTGCACCACAGAATAAACAGTCATCTTTAAGGAGCAGGGACAGCAGCTGAGAAGGTGCTCAAAGAACACTAAAGGATGCAGCAAGATGAGCTGCAGGTTGCTGCCCTGGCACAGCCTCATTGCCTAGTGCCACCATGGCTCTGTAGGGATGCTCAGTTCCAGAGAAGGTCCTGCACAGCTTTGGCTGCTGTAGCACCATGTCAAGCCAATTCCAATTGTTTCTGTAGGTATGTATGCTCAAGAAAACAGATGATAGATGCATGCTGGTCCCAGGTCAAGCCCTCCTCTGCCCCCTGCATCCTTCATGATCTACTATGACTTGTCAAAAGTCAGCTTCTCCAGTGGTGTTGACAGCCAATTGCTCACACCAGGCAGCCTGATGCTTCACGCTACATGAACCATGGAAAGCTCACCTGTCCCAAGCTGTGCCAACTGCCTCCTCTCTCCCAAGTTGTATGGTGACTCCTTGCTACTGCTCTACCACAGTCTTTGCCATTCTTGTTATTAACAGCCTCTCCCAGCCCAGCCCCTTACCCCTCCTGCTAGGAACTGCTCTCCTTCTCCACAAAATGGGCTTCTCGACATCCACTGGGCCTGAACATCCCTCGCCCTCTTGGTGCTCTGTGGTAGGAGCCACGATCTTGCACTCTGGACCTTTCCCACCTCCTGCAATCCCAGGGCCTGTGGTGGCCTTGCCAGCCAGAAGCTGCTCTGTGCTCGCCACGGTTGAATGCCAGGTTCTCCTTCTCCCTGCTTTGGGCTTCAGCACCTTGCTCCGGGGTCCATCTTTCCATGCTATGGTGTTCCTCTTTCAAGTCCACTGTGCCTGCTACTGGTGAAGGATCTTCAGGGAACAGCTCCTTTCTTTCAGCCAAGGCAGCTGCCTTGCTTCTGCTGTGAGGCTTTGGAAATTCCTGACAGTGCCTCCCACCAGGTCTTCTCTCTGGTCTCTGACCAAAGCTTCTGGGCACCCTGGAGCCATGGGACAGATGACAGGCTTCCCCTGCTGCTTCCTGTGAGCTGCTGCAGGACTGCCTGCCCTGGCCTCTTGGGCCTGACCTCTCCCCTCTGTGCCTCTCCCTCTTGCACTGAGGTTCCTTGGGCACAGCAGGCCTCTCTGGCTGCCCAGGCTCTGCCCTGCTCTCTGGAGCCCTGGCTGGCTCCAGAGCTGAGGCCTGGCAGGCTGTCTGAGGTGCATCCGCATCGCTAGCACTCACCAGCAGCTCAGAGGAAGCAGCTGCCTGGCCTGGATCAACAGTAGCTGGAGGCTGAAAGAAAGAAGCCAATGGTTAAGAAAGGGACAGGACAGTCCCAAAGCAGATGACAGTGTTTGGCCCTCAAGTCCAGGGACCTCCTTGCTGGTGTGGAGCTCAGTGGCTCTCTGCCCCCAGTGCCATACCGCCTGCAGGCTGATGAAGTAACGGTTCTTCTCTGCTTCGGGGTCAATGATGCCCCCTTTCTCTTGCTGTTTCTTGAAAATTAAGCGCAGTTCTTCTTGGTGCTGCAGCATCTTGGCATCTGGCCTGTATGGCTCCTGAGTGGCAGATAGCAAGAGGGGTTAAGGGCTCTATCTATATGGGCAGTCAGTTAGCAACAGCATGAGCAACTCCCCAAACCCTCATTTGATCACACAGCACCCAAGTAAACTGTCTGTTTGCAACACTGGACCCACTGAGCCTACAGATTCACGTGTAGTTCCCTGTCTCTGTATAGGTACCCGTCACTGCAGACCCACTGTTCCTTGCATTGCCTGTCTGAGGACCTCCTGCTTTGGAGCAAGATGCAGAGCAATTAAAAATCAAGAACCACATAAGCTGGAGTCACTCACTTGAAACTGGTAACATCTCAGTGGGTACAGGGACATATTTAAGGAAAGCTACAATTATTCTCTTAGAGCAGACAGAACACAGAGGTTCCTTTCAGGCACTCTGCCTGATGGCAGAATTGTCTCTCTCCCCCACCACATCTGCTTGCTTTGGAGAGCAAGCCAACAACATTACATATCCTCACTGCCTCCCCATGCAACAGCTACATATCTTTTGCTTCCCTCTGCCCTTATCACATCTGAAGGTGGGCCCCTTTTCTATGGCAGAAGGGCTCCAATGGTCCCCTCAGAATAGAGCACAAGATGGAATTTGTACATTTGTGTGTCTTCCTAGAGTAAATGGCAGAGCATGTTAATCAGCTGCAGCTGGCACTGTTCACGTGTTAAAATGTCCCAGTTAAAGCTACCCAGAGAGTGGGCACAGACAGATGAATCCACATCTCTTACCAGTGGGTGCTGTGGTGGTGGCGCTGCCTTCAGGGCACAGAGGTCATAAACCAAGGTTTCCCGGCAGACAGGGCACTGCACGCCGACTTTCTGCAGGGAGGTGAGAGGTGAAACCCTAGGCAACAACCCAGCCCATGCACATCCAGAGAATCCCCATGCTGGAAGTGAAACAAACAGGGCAGCCTTCTTCAACTAACCACAGGCACTTTTTTGCTAAGGCAGGGAGGCCCACGGGGATTCCAGTTTGTAATTATGGTTGGAAGGGGCTCCTGGGGCTCACTTGGTCCAATCTTCACTGATTCTCTCAGCGCAGGCACAGTGCTAACCATACTGCACACGGCTGCTGAGTCAGGATGGCCTTTGTTCCACATCCCACAGGGAGTGACAGAGAACTCAAGACGGCTTGTGCAGGGAATCAAAGCCCAATACCTGTTTGGGGGAAGGTGCCAGGTGCTGTTCTCTCTCCTCCTGCTGCGTGAGAATCTCCTCTTCCATGTGCTGGGCATAGCGGGCCAGGCAGTGGGAGTGGAAGTAGTGGTAGCACTGGGTCTTTGTGAAGGCTTCCCTCTCCTGTGGATGAGAAAAGGGATTTAAAGAGTGTTCCCAGCACCTACCTGAGGTGAGTTTTCACTCCCGTGTCAGCAGGGATGTTATTGATGGCAAAACCACATAGCTTCTTCCACTGGGCTTCATCTGATTCACTTCTCAGCCACCTTGAATGGCTTGAATACACATTCCTACCTGGAATCCATAGAGGCAGA